TGCGCTGTTTAAACATTGGGGATACAAAGGTGGTCGGGCGTGGCGCTGACCACCAACCCCCATCGTGTGCCGTGCCGGCCTTAAATCTTCGCGAACATCACTGGCCCCAACAGTCTGTTGAACGCTATACGGGGGATGTTTGTCTTTGTACGTTTCAGTGTATGTACGTATCCGTGTGCGTGTGAACGTACTGTAGGTAAGTGTGTACATATGCGTGTGTGCATCTATTTATCCAAATACAAATAACCTTCAGCAGGCTTCTGGGACACGTGCTGTTAGCGAGCACCTATTCATCCTGACGGGGGTTGTGTGGCCAGCACACCACGCACGGCCGCCTTTGTCTCCCCTGTGCCACTCTTGACACGTTGCACCAGTTACTCAATTAAGGACGAGTTGACCCAGAGGAGGCGCAGGAACCGTCCAGATATCCGTCACCGACGTTGGCCCTAATGAAGAAACGGTCATGCCCCCCCAGGTCGATTGAGTATCTGGTGCTATGTATAATCATCGACACCGGGGAGACAAAGGCGGCCAGGTGTAGTGCTGCTCGCACCACCGGCTCATGCAGCGTGCCTTCCTTCGTTAGGTGCTCGCTAACAGCACTTGCTTCAGCAGCTTGTACGGGGGATCTTTGTATTTTACTTCTGTGTTGATGTTCACGTCATATGTCATTATTATCAACCCGCCAACAGTTCACCACGCGATACGAGGGCTACGGGTGACACATGCCTTTTCCGATAACTACACACCTCTCTCCACCTGGCAGCGCCAAGCTTATAACACCTGGCATACCCAGGCGATCTCTCTTTCTCCCGAGCACGAACTCCACGTGCTCTGCTGTGTGGCCCCGAGATGTTGAGGGCGTCTGGCGTGGTCGCGGCGCATTTCGTCGAATGTTCATCACGGGTCCGGCTATTGCCGTGAGCAGGGCGCTCGTCTCGTCATCGGGGCCCCGTGATATGAACACGGGAAGTGTCTAACTCGTAATATCCACTTTATTTCTTTCTCTGGACTCTCTCTATTTATGTGCTATGATGAAGGGTCATTGCCCGAAACGTCGCCTGTTACATTTGTTTTTTTAAGGCTACACATACGGTTAAATCTTGACTTAAAGCTTTCGTGACTGCAGGGATTCATATTCTTTGGGTCGGTAAAAGTCACGTATTGCGATCGAAACGTCGTAATATTTTAATTATTTTTAATTCACTTTATTTTCATTTATTTTTATTATTTTATTGTTCTATCTACGTGACTTTACCGAAATACCCAAAGAATATGAATACACATACGGTGTTGTGAGGTTTTCCCTTTCTTGTACTTTGCACCACTATCATGCATTTTGTACTGTTGGTGTACCGTTCTTTCCCGCTCCTAATGAACATCTGTGATGAAGAGCTTCATAGTTCATCGGATTCCTCCAGCATAAATACATATTCTGATCTGATGCTGTTGGTGTTGACGCGGTAGGGAATTGAGTTATTATCGTTGGCTGTGGTTGTGCACCACAGGCAACCTATTTCGCGATATTCTTCTGCGAGTGGCTGATGATGATGATGTTGAGATAAACAGCTCTAATTCGAACATCAAGGTGGTTAATGATCCAGGCGATTGCAACAGGAGTCGCGGAGCGGTGCTTCATTTAACTGCTGTTGTGATGATGATGATGACTCCTTTGTGTTCGTGAATAGGGCATTGCTGGGTCGTCGCGCGTTCCAGGGCTCGTTTAGGACGGTGACCCCAGCCACACGCGTTATCCTGATCGACTCACGCTTCGCAATACGTACCAAGAAAAACCCAGCCGGAGCTCACCGGAATCCTATTGTTAACCACCACCCATGGTCGATAATAACGAACCGGTGATTGCCCAATGGACAAACTGGATCCCGCCATCGCAATGTGGAATGTAACTCCTGGCTCAAGCTAGCCAACGGGAGTCGCTCTTGGGGCCAGATCCGCATCTGGTTCTGACAGGCTGCGACGATTCTCCTGAGCGCCTCGCCCCTCCGTTGTTGCTGCTGCTGCTTGCGGTGGTGATGGAGGCTGGAAGAGCGGCAGCGATGGAGGCGTGGGGAGCGGTAGCGTAGCGGTCAGTGCGCTGTGCTACAAACCCGGCGACTCGAGTTCGATTCCCGCTCACAGCCAACACAAGTGACGATTATTTTAACCGGTCCAGGGCTCCGCCTGTCGACTCAGCCTCAAATGAGTACCTGGTGCGATGTGTAAACGTCGCCACTAGGGAGACGAATGCGGCTGGGCGTAATGTTGGGCACCCACCCCCTCGTGTGCCGTGTCGGCCTTCATAGGTGCTCGCTAAACAGCACTTGCCCCAACAGTCTGTTCAGGCGATACGGGGGATCACTGCCGTTGATGGAGGCGTCGGTCTGGGTGTTCACTCAAACATCGCACGGGACACCAATATTCCGTGTTCATTTTGTTCATTTTATTGAGAACATTTTCCTGTTTTCGATCACGTGTTGTCGTTGTCTCTTTATCTCGTTGTCAAGTTCTATCTCGCTGTTTGTATTGTGTTCTGTTTTGTGTCAGTTGCCCTATCTCGTTCCTACTGTCTCTGTCTCTATTAGTATCTCATTTGTATTATCTGCTTGTCCTGGTGCATTATGTTGATCTTTAGTTTGCACCGTGCGTAGCCAACAGTGCTGATCGGAGGTGCGGGCGGGAAGGACATCAAACTTAACACAAAAAGCAGTTCTAAAGAAATGAGATTGCAATCTAGATTTGAAAGTGCATCGCATCGGGAATGATCGGTCATGCCATGAGTCCGTCGGGGACACGTGCATATGATCCGCGTACATAGCAAGTCACACTATTCTCACGCTCAAGATTGGAGGCATACATCGTGAGTAATCATCGATTTTCCCTATAAGCGGATGCCTGCGATATTTACAAACAAGGTCGACAGCAGTGCAGTTTGACCAGTCGTGATGTATTGGTCTGAATTCAAGGTAGTGAGAAGGGATGAACAGATGCCACGCATATACCTTTACTATAATATATATGCTTCATACTATAGCATATATAATGTAGTATATATTATATATGCGAGCTAAATTTGTATTTCCATGCTTTATCTATATATTTATTATTGAACGTTTCTCCATCTTAGTCGCGTATTTTATATTATATATTATTTGTTGATGTAACTTGCTGATCCACCCCTATCTGAAAAATAACTTCATAACTCCATCAGATTTCTTCCAGGAAAGGGAAAAAAAATTGTTGATTCTGAGATTGTTAATATGCTCCTTAGGCGCATCAGGAGTGGACAGTCTTGATTTGAAGCTTTCGTGATTGCAGGAATCCATACTCCTAGGTTATTTCGGTCAGTCACATGGATAGAAATAAAACAAAATAAATCACGACGTATCGATAGCAACACAAGCCATCGTCGAAGGCGTCGTGATTTATTTCGTTGTATTTCTACCTACGTGACTTAGCGAAAGAACCAAAGAGTATAGGAGCGGATAGACTTAGAGGAGACGATCTGGCGACGGAGTAAAACGATGAAGGTAGCAGCGATCGGTGGCGAGACGAGAGAAGCGCAAGCCTGTGGCATCGGTGGTGGTTGGAGTGGGGATGAGCCCGGTGCGGACAGAAAGCTTGAGAATAATGAGGGGCCCAGAGTTCTGCAGACGGAGGTGCGAAGCAAGAGACTGCAGGGATTCATATTCTTGGTTCATTTGGTAAAGTCACGTAGAAAGGAAATAATAAAATAATATAACTAAAAACAAATTTAGAAGGGAAATAACATAATAAAAATATTTATTTTATTTTATTATTTCCCTTCTACGTGACTTTACCGAAAGAACCAAGAATATGGTGCTTATGTTCAAGGCAAGAGGATGTTTGTGCGTGTATGTACGCATGTTGAACACGAGGAGCGGTGGTGTAGCGGTTATCGCGCTGCGCTGCAAACCTGTCGACCTGGATTCGAATCCTGCTCATGGACAATAACACACGTGACGGTAATCTGAGCCGGTCCTGGGCCTCTCCTAGGTCCGCTCAGCCTCAAATGAGTACCTGGTGCGATGTGTAAGCATCGCCACTGGAGAGACAAAGGCGGCCGGGCGTGGTGTTGTCCACCCACCCCCTTGCGTGCCGTGCCGGCCTTCATCGGTGGTCGCTAACAGCACTTGCCCCAACAGACTGTTAAGGATATGCGGGTGATCTTTGTATGTTGAACTACTTTCGCACCGTACGTAGCCAAAAATGCTATTCGAAGGTGTGGGGGACGGACAACAAACTAAACATAAAAATCTAATTTAAAGAATGCTGCAAACCCAGGAGCAAAGTGTGGAAAAAGGAGCAGAGCTAGATTTAATTAATCAATGACATAAGTTATTGAATGAATGACTCTGCTGCATTACTTTTTACTTGTAAGATATTTTCAGTCAATTAATGATGATGAGTCGTGTTGATAATTCACGTCGGAGAAGGAAACCGGAGCCCCCCGCCTTGTGCGAGGGGGAAACGCTCCATCCTCCGTACAGATGGAAACACGTGGCGATTAGTCCACACTGTGCTGTACCGGCCTTCTCGTGGCATAGCCAGGGTTATGGCACCTCCTCGACGCCCACCCACGGGAAGGGAGTTTCACGACATTTGTGTGCCGTGATCCACCAACCCTCGCTGCTGCCTCCACGGCGCAGGATTCTAGGCAACCACGTGGAGTGTGGCCACCACCACCAGCGCCACCAGCGCCACCACCAGCGCCACCAGCAGTGCCACTCGGCTGCGGCGTAAGGCGAGGAAGGTATCGTCACGTGAGACCCACTCTGTGGGGTTGTTGTTTTTCTCCCTCTGCTCTGTGGCTTTGCAGAACACGGAGGAGTTCGCGGACGTGAGCGGGAGAACGGCGTCACTGACCAGCGACGAATCTTACCCGCAGACCTGCCAGAACATTCACACTTTGCCAACGAGTCGACCCACAGGAGAATAATTCATAGCATGAACGAGTACGCGGACTCGCTGTTACGCTGACACTCGCTAGGGAGCTAGAACAACGAGAGGACTCGACCATACGCCGAGAGGTAAGTAGACTCCAGAAAAAAATGGAATACTAAGTCGACCTAAGTACTCATTCTACGCACTAAAAAGTAGACTCGCTAAAGTGCATTTACGAGTCTACTCACTAATACGTCAACGCACTATAACGTCGACTCATAACTTGACTCATCAAGTCGATGAATTAAGATTGCAATTTACCCATTGGTCGACGAATAATTGGACTCTAGTAATACGAACAAAACCTCTCACTCATCAGTGGAATAATACGTCGACTAGCTGCTATGCGGACTTGTAAGTCGACCAACTAATTCTCCGATTCACTACCGAGTCAATCAAAGAACCCGACCAACAGCTACACCCAACTAGGAACACACTCGACGCAACATGCAGAACACTTCCGTCCCCCAAGTCCATAAAGAGTGCGTGATCTTCGCCGACTTCAACTGCACGGGCCCGACCCAGGTTCGCGAGGTCCGCCTCGTCCTTCTTGTCGTCTTCGCTATCTTCATCACGGCCACCATCCTCGGCAACCTGCTCATCATCACCGCCATCGCCTCCTTCACGAAGCTGCAGACGCACGCCAACTTCCTGGCCCTCTCCCTGGCCGTGTCCGACCTGCTCGTGGGCGTCTTCATCATGCCCCTGAGCATGATGAAGACCGTCTACGACTGCTGGTTCTACGCGTCCGTGCTGTGCAACGCGCACTACTTCCTAGACTACACCCTCACCACGGCCACCATCCTGCACATCACCTGCATCGCCTACGACCGCTACGTGGCCATCTGCGACCCGCTGCGCTACCCGACGCGCGTCACCGTCCGCACCATCGCGGGGCTGCTGGTGCTCTGCTGGCTCGGCGCGGCGATCTTCTCCTCTCCCATCCTCCTGAGCTTCAGCCCGACGCTGTCGCGCGGCAACATTGAGCGCGCCTCGTGCCCCGACGACTGCGTGTTCTCCGTGAGCTTCGGCATCCTCGTCACCATTGGCATGGGCCCCTACTTCACCGCCATCCACGTGGTCTTGCTGATGTATGCCGTCATCTACCGCGTGGCGCGCAGGCAGTCGCGCAAGGTTGCGGCCGAGGCTGCCTCCTCGTCGGCGGCCGACTCGAGCGCCGTGAAGAACATGAAGCGAGAGCACAGCGCCGCCAAGACGCTGGGTGCCATCATCGGCACGTTCATGCTGTCGTGGCTGCCCTACTACGTGGTGGCGATGATGTCCTTCACCGTGGATGGTCTTTTCATTCCCTACCGAGTGGCGATGTGGATCGGCTACTGCAGTTCGGCCATCAACCCGCTGCTCTACGCCTCGTTCAACCGCCCGTTCCGCACGGCCTTCCGCGACATCTTTCGCCTCCGCGTCTTCTCCGGAGTGGTCAGGAGGGACTCGGGGCTCTCGGAGAGGAGCCACGGCCAGGCGATGGCACGCTGAACGAGGCTTTTTTGAAAGGCGGTGACGTCACTGAGGGGCGACGACGTCACCTGGGTTGCGAGAAGGGAGGGGCTCGAGATTCGTGTATGTATGTTCTATGTACGTTGAACTTTTTTAGCACCATACTTAGCCAAACCGTGTTAATCGGAGGGGGGGGGGGGAGAAGGACAACACACTAAATACACGTCGCTGTGGTGGGGCGACGCGGCCGCGCGTGAACGTCGGTCGAACGTTTGCCGTATGATGTACGCCGAGCTGCCAGCTTGGTGCGGAAGAGTGCGCGACGCCTCTCCTGGCTGGCCGTGTGTAGCCGATAGCTCTGTATGTGTGTGTGTTTGTGGCCTTGCAATAAACACGTGTAATAGGCGACGTTTCGTACAATGGCCCTTCTTCGTAGCGCATAAAAATGATTGTTAACCTAATAGTTTATTGCGCTTATGTATACGGTAATTGCACCTTGCATGTAAGAATCGATTATTTTAGACTGACGTGTTTTTATATGTGTATCAGGATGGAGTGTGGTGGGATAAAGTGTGGGGTAAGGTGTGGGTACTGCGACGTCTTCCAAAACGTCTGGCCACGGTGGAAGAGTAGGCCAAATACTCCTCCGATGGGGGGCGAGGGGGGTTAACCATTGCTGCTGCCGCCTTTCCCCACCACGAGTAAATGCCAATGTCCAAACGCGCACACATGTCGCACGATGTTACAATGACGCAATGTTAAACAGACGCCGAAAATAAAATATATTTAAATGCTTTCATCCGCTGCCTCGAACATAAGCATCTCAAATGCAATCCCAGCACCGATGAAGTAAACCTGGCGTGTAGCAGTAGTTGTTGTTTGTCTTCTATCTCAATCCCCCACCTGCACAGCTACTTAGCACAGGTGGAGTGAGATCCATTATTTTTAATTGGCTCGATCCCGGGGGAAGGAAAGGGGTGGGAAGGGAGGGGGCGGGGGTGAGGAGGGGCGGCTGGGGGGGGGGGGGACAATTGAGAATTGGGGACGACGAGGAGGCCTATATAAGCGCGGGTCAGGGGTTAAGAGCTTAGAGAAGAGAGGGGAAAGGGGGTCGAGTGTGGGAGGAGGAGCATGAGGCGACGACACGAGCGGTAAAATCACACAAAAACATCCGTCCCCCACATAGCCTTAACAGTTTTGTTGGGGCGAGTGCTGTTTGTGAGTATCGCCTATGATTACCGGCACGTCACACGAGGGCGTGGGTGCCCAACACCACGCCCGTCTGCCTTTGTCTCCGCAGTGGTGAAGTTTGCACACTGCACCAGGTACTCATTTGAGGCTGAGTCAACCTAGGGGGAGGCCCGGGAGCGGTTCAGATAATAATCGTCATTGGTGTTGGCCATGGCTGGATTATGGACCGGGCCAGTGGGGCCAGTGCCCCGGGGCCTCGGACTGCCAGGGGACCTCCAAGCCTCAGGCCGCGCGCGGTGCGTGGCCCAAGACTTCCCAAGGAAGTTGAATGCCAGGGCCCTCAGTGCGCACAGCGCAAGCTGACCACGAGGTCCCTGGGTGCTTATAGCGTGAGCTCACCACTAGGGCCCCACAGACCCATCAGTGCGCACAGCGCAAGCTGACCACGAGGTCCCTGGGTGCTTATAGCGTGAGCTCACCACTCGGGCCCCCCAGACCCCTCAGTTCTTACAATCTGAGGGCCCACCAGACCCCTTGGCGTTTAAAACGTAAGCTGACCACTAGGGCCCCTGGGCCCCTCAGCGCCTACAGTGTGAGGGCCTCCAGGCTTCTTGGCATTTAAAGAGTGAGCTGACCACTAGGGTCCCTGGGCCCCTCGGCACTTACAGTGTGAGGTTCTCTGGGCCTCTCCGCGCTTAGAGCGTGAGCTGACCACTAGGGCCCCCAGGCCCCTCGGTGCATACATCAGGCGTAACACCTGGGCCCCTTGGTACATATTGTGAATGCTTAAAACAAGAGTCTCTCGGAGAGTACAGTGCTTCTGTACAACTGAGCCACTGGTTGACACACTACAATATGCTGTGACATGATACAATATTCACCAACAAGTCAGTTCATTCTGCATAACAGGACAGTTTGAAGGGCGTTATTATGGCAAGCCGTTCGTTATTTGACTTACCGTAACTCGCTATCCCTTTATTTTAGCTAGCTGCCATTTCCCCTAGCTAGCTGCCCATATGATTCAGCTTATTAACAAAAATGAGTTCGCTAGCTGACATTATTGCCAGCTATCTGCCCTTAAAACCAAATTAGCTGCACTAAAAAGCCAACTAGTGAGACCGAGGGCTCGTCATTTGTTGAGAGCTTAGTTAGCCGTTGACAAATCAATGATTAAAAATACACTGCGGCTTCGTGAAACGTAAAAAGAAATGCCAAAGCTATATTTTTCATACACTAACGCATATATAAGAGATCCAATCCACACTTAAAGATTAAGGAAAATCCCATTATTTGTTTTCCATAGACCGAGGTCTTTTTCTCCCCTCCCCATTGATGGGGTGTGGCCTATGTGCATCGTCTCCACCAAGTCATTTCACAGAAATCTTTGTTGGTGGTTCAGCCAATGAAAAAAAAGTTATATTTTTAATTTCAAGCGACATAATTTTCTCTGTGTCAGGCAGGTATATGAGACATTATTTGGTAGGAAACGCCACGGACTGTTTTCTTGCTTGGTACGCCACAGTGATATATTCAGATACTTTTTTCATCTTTTATTAAAACATCAGCCTTTTTAAAGGCTATTTCAACAATCCCCCCTAAGGGATATTTTCTAACAGCCTTTTTAAAGGGTTAGGGTTATTTTCTTTTACGTGCTTTTCTATATTTTTCTATATTTACTCAAAGCGGCCTTTAGGTACAAGTCGACTATAAAATACCATCACTTGATTGTATTTTCAAACAACAGTATTTGAAGGGTGTTGTCATTATTGATATTTATTAATTCAATTATTATTTAATAAGTATTGAGATATGCTATAATTATATTCATATAAATAGCAGTAGTTCTGAAATATGGACCACAAACGTTGGAATAGTGGTGCTTCCAAAAGAAAAGCTAAAAAAGAAAAGAAGGCAAGTGAGGCAGTTTTGCTTCAAAGTGTTCCACTCATTACCAACTTCTTTCAAAAAAGTCTGATAGTAATAATGATGATAGCAGCACTATTGTCAGCTGTGAGGAAGGAACGAGCACTAGTTCAGTTTCCAGTAATGTTGTCACTCCCCCAAAGCCATCCATTGAAGGCGAACCCTCAACAGCTGATGGTATACAATAACCATTTCCACCTCAGATTCAAATCAGTAACCAAGCCATTCCTGGTGCTATGAGGTCAATGACCCTGCATTATGGTAAAACACTTCCAGTGGATGCACCCTACGTCCTTCCTTGTGGAAGAGATACTCATGACACGTCCATCATCTGGCCACATGGCCAACCAGCGCTGGGCCAATTCTTCAACTACATCAATTCCATACACCCAGCCATTAAATTCACCATGGAGGTGAAAAAGGATGGCAAGTTACCATTCTTGGATGTGTTAATCGAAAAGAGACTAGATGGCTCAATGGGACACTGTTTACAGGAAAGCCACCCATACAGATGCCTATCTGAAACATGATTCCCACCACCATCCATCCCAGAAATATTCCCTCATCAAAACTCTACACCATAGAGCTCATTGTATTTCTGACCATCACCACCTAGCCAGTGAACTGGAGCACGTACACCAAGCCCTCAAGATGAATGGATTTTCAGACTACACAATCCGTAAAGCCATCACCCCAACTGTTGGGAAAAAAGACATCTGAGGTCCCAATGAAAACCATCACCTTGCCATACATTGCAGGGGTTACCAAAAATGTTTCCAAAATCATGAGCAAACACAAGATCCAGGTTCGATTCAACACAGTACGTAAAATTCGTGATCTGATCCCATCTGTGAAGGATGTGATCCCTGACATGCAATACCCCGGCGTCTACAAACTAAGCTGTGTCTGCGGCAGTAGTTACATTGGGGAAATGAAGCGACATGTCTCGGACCGTGTTCGTGGACATAAGGCAGATCTGAAACACGGTAGGACCAATACCTCAGCCGTGGCTAATCATTGTTTTAATGCTGCGGACACATACGAAATAGATTTTTACAAGATGAAGGGACTCTGCAGACCCACTTTCTATCAACACAGATTCGTTCATGAAGCCATCTAAATATATAAACACAAACACAATTCCAACCGAGAAGATGGGTACAAACTTAGCGGCTGCAGCTCCTTACTATTAAAATTCCTTCCCTCTATTACTGCTAACCCTACTCCCTCCCTTTGATGCTGCTAATCCTGCATACTGCATAATGCACGGGCATAATATGACTTTGACCCCCCCCCACCTCCTACGCATTCCACAAGTAGTGACTAATCCCATATCTGCATTTCCCATAAATATGCTAAATTCCTCTTGATATGCAAATTCCTTTGTCAAGGCGCCCCTTCTACCTCCTAACCCAGCTTAAATATACGCTGCCAAGCCTGGTGGTGCCCATTCAGACGCTGTCTTTACGACAGACCTGTTCTTCACCTGAGGACGGCTGCCTGCGTTGTCGCCGAAACGTCGTGAGAATTATTTAATTATGTTTTATTTTTATTATTTTATTTCCCTTCTACGTGACTTTACCGAAAGAACCAAGAAGACATTGGAAGGAAGTTATTAACAAGTTTAAGTCATAACTGGCTGTGATGTTTCCATCCTACCTGCCGATGTTAGCAGTTATTTCCGACTCTATGAGTTACATATACGCTAAAGGTCTCACTAACACAGCCACCTTTGCTCCTTGTCCTCGAGTTGGCGGTGTCCCTCATTTTTTAACGAGCTGGATTTCTCACGAGCACAGCCACCGTTGCGGTGGTTCGCTTACATTGACATGCTCATCTCTCACAATACAATGGCCATCTCCACGGCTATGTCGTTGTGGAGGTATATCAGCTCTCCGATCTTACATTTACATGCAATTTCCATCTCTAGCCCCACCCAGTTTCCCTTGGGCTAAACCCATCTCAAACCTATATAACATCCTGCTTCAGCAAGCTCTCCCGCTATATTTTATCACCTGATGACGATTACTTGTGTTGTGA